ACCCAATCTCTACAAATAATTTAAAAATTGGCTGGACGAGGTGGCGGCGCATGCCTGTAGTCCAAGCTACTTGGGAGACTGAGGTGGGAGGACTGCTTGAGCACAGGAGATCAAGACTGCAGTGAGCCATGACTGCGCTACTGCACTCCAGCCTGAGCAACAGAACAACACTCTGTCTCAACAAACAAAACAAAGAAACAAACAAAAACTAGGAGAACAAAAGATGGAGCAGTTATTTGGTTGTGAGGTCACCTTTCCTGATGTTTTTGCAATTTGAGCAGTTGCTCACACTCAGCAAATAATAAGTGCCTTGGTGCTGGGATCCAGTGTGAGCAGGAGAGGGGCTTACAGGTCAGCGATAGAGACAGACCTCAAAGTCATTCCTCTAGTAATCATTTAAATATGGGGCATGACCTGATCTGAGAGAAGAGGGTGTGGTGCAGAGAAGGGGTCTTTGAGAAAATACCCTTAAGCCTAGCTCTGACATAAGCATTAAGGCAGTTCCAGCTGGGTACAGTGGCTCATGCTTGTAATCCCAGCACTTTGGGAGGCCGAGGTGGGCGGATCATGAAGTCAGGAGTTCAAGACCAGCCTGACCAACATGGAGAAACCCTGTCTCTACTAAAAATACAAAAATTAGCCAGGCGTGGTGACGCACACCTGTAGTTCCAGCTACTCAGGAGGCTGAGGCAGGAGAATTGCTTGAACCCGGGAGGCGGAGGTTGCAGTGAGCCAAGATCACGCCACTGTACTCCAGCCTGCGCGACACAGCTGAGACTCTATCTCAAAATAAAATAAAAGAAAAATAAAAATTAAGGCAGTTCCAGACAGAAGGAACAATGCAGGCAAGGGTCTGAGCCTGGTGGAAATGTGGTTCATTCCAAAAATAGAAAATAGTTCATCATGGCTGCTGCAATACAGAGGAGAGGGAGGTGTCCCAAGAGGAAGGCAGATCCTTTTTTGTGAAAATTGTCATGAAACCTAAGGTCTTGAGGTTGAGTTGGCATCAGCCAGGCCAAGGTGGGAAAGTTATTTCAGGCAGAGGAAACAGCATCAGTGAAGGCTCAGAACCCACAAAGAAGCAAAGGCCCCAAGTACAAAGTGTGGGCCTGGAAACCTCCCATGCCGCAGGACACGTGTTTTATAAGGTCGCACCCAGCGTGAGAGGTACCGGGACTTTGGCTTTTTTTTTTTTTTTTTTTTTCTGCAACTGTCTTGATTGAGGGACTTTGGTTTTTGGGAGGCCGAGGTGGGTGGATCACGAGGTCAAGAGATCGAGACCATCCTGGTCACCATGGTAAAATCCCGTCTCCACCAGAAATACAAAAAATTAGCTGGGCATGGTGGCACATGCCTGTAATCCCAGCTACTCAGGAGGCTGAGGCAGGAGAATTGCCAGAACCCAGGAGGCAGAGGTTGCGGTGAGCCGAGATTGCACCATTGCACTCCAGCCTGGGTGAGAAACTCCATCTCAAAAAAAAGAAAGCAAACACCGTCCTTGGGAAGAAGACTGCTAGGATAAGGGAAAAAACACATGTCCCAGGACTGTCCTCAGGTTGTGGTGGGACCTTGGCCATGTCCCTTCCCCAAAGGCAGCTTTGCTTGGTTCTGCTGCAAAATAATCAGGCCCTACCAGGCCCATCTTTAAGGGTTTTCTGGTTTTCACCTTTTCTTGGTGACTTCCTTTAAGATGGGAAGGAAGATAAACTTAGGAGATAGTGGGAAGATCTCAATGTACTTTTGCTAAGGTTTGTGAGGGGATCCGTTTTATTGTATTTCAAAATGTCTACTGTTTAAAAAACTCAGTAGAAACATTAATTTGGATGCGTTAAGGAAAAACCCCATAGAACTTTCCTTATTGCCAAAAAAATTCAAACATCACCCCAGTAGATACCTCATAAGGGGAAAGTTGGATTCCCCCCTCCTTTGTTTTTATTTGAGTTGGAGTCTCATTCTGTTGCCCAGTGTGGGGTGCAGTGGCATGATCACTGCAACCTCTACCTCCCAGGTTTAAGAGATTCTTGTGCCTCAGCCTCCAAAGTAGCAGGGACTACAGGTGGACGCCACCAATTTTGGTATTTTTAGTAGAGACGAAGTTTTGCAGTGTTGGCCAGGCTGGTCTTGAATTCCTGAGAAGACTTCAAGTGATCCGCCTCGGTCTCCCAAAGTGCTGGGACTACAGGCATGAAGCACTGCACTGGCTGATTCCCTGACCTCTGATGCTCCTCACTCTTCAGCTCCAGACTATGGGGTAAACATTCTCTGAGAATAAGCTAGAAGGACCTTATGGACTCACTCAAGCTCAGAGATGTATCCTGTTTGGCAACAAAGTTTTATATGTGGAAAATGTCACATTTTCAGTTTCCCTCAAAAACTCAAATATTTAACTCGCTGGATCCAAAGAACAGCTGCACTTTTGGACAAGGCATGCTGATTTCTCCACTTCACCACAGTCCCCACCACTCTCTAACACCTCCCCCACAGGCAACTTCTCTCATTTACATTACCTGCCCCATCCCTGTTCTAGAAACTTCCCTTGAATATAATACCATATAATATATATGCATATGCATTTCTTTTTACACATAATTTTGAGAATCTTTCTGTGACTACACACAGATCCAACCCCCCTCCTTTCCAAAGCCAAGTCATATTCCATTGTTGGAATCTTTGGTATTTATTTATTTAACTCCCTCTTTTTTTTTTTTTTTAGAAACAGGGTATCACCTGTCACCCAGGCTGGAGTGCAGTGGTGTGATCACAGCTCATTGCAGCCTCAAACTCTTGGGCTCAAGCGATCCTCCTGCCTCAGCCTCCTGAGCAGCTAGGACTACAAGTGTGTGCTATAACACCGGCTAATCTTTAAAATTTAATGTAGAGGTGGAGTCTTGCTATGTTGACCAGGCTGGTCTTGAACTCCTGACCTCAAGCGATCCTCCGGCTTGGCCTCACAAAGGGTTGGGATTACAGGTGTGAGCCACTGTGCCTGGCCATATCTAACTGTCTCTTGATGTGTACATACAAAGGCTCCACTTTCTCTATAGTATATGCTATAAGTGAATATCTTTATACATTTGTTTATGAAGTTTTTTATTGTTATATTTTTGAAACAGAGTCTCACTCTGTTGTCTAGGCTGGAGTGCAGTGGCATGATCTCTACTCACTGCAACCTCTGCCTTCTAGGTTCAAGCGATTCTCCTGCCTCAGTCTCCCGAGTAGCTGGGATTACAGGCATGTGCCACCACCCCCGGCTAATTTTCGTATTTTCAGTAGAGACAGGCTGGTCTCGAACTCCAGACCTCAGGTGATCCACCCACCTCAGCCTCCCAAAGTGCTGGGATTACAGGTGTGAGCTACTGCGCCTGGACTGTTTATGAAGTTTTATAGGATAAACGCCTAGCTGTAGGCTTATTGGATAAATGTCTATGTACATTTTAAAACTAAGAAATTTTAAATTTAATATTTGAAAGCTATCACAAAATTGCTTTTGTGGTTATAGGAATTTACATCCCTAGAAATGAAATCAGTGTCCTTCCCCAAGCCTTGTTTTGATTTGCATTTCTGAAATTACTAAGGTGACCAAGCCTCCCTTTAATCCAATTGTCCCCTGTAAATCATCCACTGACTTTTCACCTTCTTACTTTTCATCTCCTTTTACTGGCGGCAGGAGTTCTCTGTATAGGAGGGACATTAGGCCTTAATCACATATGCCACAAATTTTCCCCCAGGTGATTCTTTTTAGACTTTGTATTTTACTTTGGAAAAATTGTAACTTCATTCACAATCACATTATGATTCTTTTTCTTTGAGGGGGTGGTTCACAACCTGCCTTGTTTGGTTGCATATTAATATATTTTTTTAGAATCAAATGCCTTTAGCTAATACATTATCTGTTTCCCCCACAGGATCCAGGACTATCTCATAAACGGGCTACTTCATAATGTTCAAGTTTTCTTCCTGCCCCCAAGACAGATTATACAGGTATAACGGTGCGGGTGTATTTCCTCTAGAACTTTTATGGTTTCCTTCCTTCCCTCCTTCCCTCCCTCCCTCCCTCCCTCCCTCCTTTCTTCCTTCCTTCCTTCCCTCCTTCCTTCCTTCCTGACAGAGTCTTGCTCTGTCACCCGGGCTGGAGTGCAATGATGCTGTCTTGGCTCACTGCAACCTCTGCCTCCCGGGTTCAAGCAATTCTCCTGCCTCAGCCTCCCTAGGAGCTGGGGTTACAGGCGCCCACCACCATGCCCAGCTAATTTTTGTATTTTTAGTAGCGACAGGGTTGCACCATGTTGGCTAGGTTGGTCTTGAACTTCTGACCTCGTGATCCGCCCGCCTTGGCCTCCCAAAGTGCTGGGATTACAGGCATGAGCCACCACGCCCGGCCTGCTTTTATGGTTTTCTTATGCACATTTAAATTTTGGACCCATTTGTAATTTATTTTTGGTGGAGTGAGCGTACACCACAGAGAACAGGGATGTTTTCCTGATCAGCAGTATAAGGGGAGGGAGATATCAATGCCTGTTTACAGGTTTTTTTTAAAAAACAACAACATGCTTTTTGTCCCTTTACACAAGTAATGCAAACTCAAGGATTATACACATACTTCCACACCTAAAACAACCACTTTTTAAAAAATTGCAACGTATTTTCTGCTATCTTTTTTTCCTTAGTATGTAGATTGTTTCAGAAATCTTCTTTTAATTGTTTTTCTCTTCTTTTAAAATTTTACTTGAATGACCAGATCTCGTGAGATGTTTCAGAAATCTTTTGTCTGTTATTTTGTAACATGTGACAACATTTATAACTGCTAACATTTAACGTTTTAACCTAGCAGCTCCCAAACCTGGCTGGGCAGCTGGCTTCCCAGTGGAGCTTGTTAAAAATAATGAATCAGCAACCCCAGGGGGTGGGCTCTGGGAATCTATATTTTTAACAAGTTCCGTGGAGGTGTTTGAGACATAGCCAGGCCAACGCTGGCCGACTCCCCCATGCTCCAGTGGTACCTGTGATTGTCTGGGTTTCTGAGGTGATGGTTCTGGTGGTGGTCTGCGTCTGGGTGGCAGGCACCGTTTCCTCCGATACAAACTGGACTGTGCTGGGGGCTGTCGCGGATGTGCCTGTTAGCTGGCAGCCACTTTGCTTGTGAGCGACAAAGGCATCCAGGTTGTTAAACTGCTGCTTGCAGATGCCACAGATATGGATGTCTGGAGTCAGCTCCACCAGCACCGTTGTGCCGCCTGGAACTCCATGGGACAAAGGGAAAGGAACATATTAATTCCAAATAGCTTTGAATTCTAATGCAAACCAGATTCATAGTTAGGAAGAAAAGGCATGGTGGCAGGCATGGCTAGGTGGTGGCCCAATATCCACTCCATCTCCCTCTTCTCACGAACAGAATTCCAATTGTGTCCTACCAGCAAGGTATTATATTTCCATACAGAGACATCTTGCCTTAGTTAGACCTGGGGAAAATTGGACATAATGTAAATATCTTAGAAATTTTCATAAAATTGGCTGGGTCCAGTGGCTCATGCCTGTAATCCTAGCACTTTGGGAGGCTGAGACTGGTGAATCACCTGAGGTCAGGAGTTCAAGACCAGCCTGGCCAACATGGTAAAATCCAGTCTCTACTAAAACTACAAAAATTAGCAGGGCATGGTGGTGTGTGCCTATAATCCCAGCTACTCGGGAGGCTGAGGCAGGAGAACCGCTTGAAGCCAGGAGGCAGAGGTTGCAGCAAGCCTAGATCATGCTTTGCAGTCCAGCCGGGGGGAGTTAAAAAAAAAAAGAGCAAAACTCCATCTCAAAATAAAAAAAAAAAGACATTTTTAGAAAATTATGATGCATAATTTTGTCTAACCATATATGCACAAAGGTAGCTTTGTATTATTTAACTTGGGGAATATTGGAAATAATGTACAGCAACCATCCACGTGATGGTTCATGCTGCATTGTTTCCCATGGGCACTAGTGGCGCTGTTTGCAAGAAAGTTACTGGACCTGCAGGGCTGCCCTGCACTTTGCAGAGCCAGCAGCCATCTCCTATCTCAACTAAAAGGTCATCATGAAAACTGAGCCTCCCGCACATTTGCAAATATACTCACCCAACACACATACTATGAGAACCACTAGTCTAAATAATCTTGATCCCCTACATGCTTGTGAACTTCTCCAGTACACAGCTGAAAGAGTTTCTGGGAAAAGTTTGGCATTCATGATAAAAAGGGAGCAGATATGGCTAGCACTGTGCGCATTTTCTTCTGGCTTTGGATGCAAATGTGATGGTGGAGCTTCTGCAGCCATCTTGTAACTATGAGGAAAATGCCAAGATCCCTGCAGGCTCTGCCCCTTACTTCATGGATTCCCCTGATTCAACCCTGGAATCAACCAATTCCAGATTTAATGAGGCCAGTATAATTTGGGTTTCTGTCACTTGTAGCCCAAATGCATTCCTAACTGGCAGGAACATTATTTCTTGATAGTAGTAATATCAAGAGTTAATACTGTATTAATACCTGCAAAGCATTTAGCATAGTACTTGGCACTGTATTAGAAAGTACTATATAAATATTTGTTCAATAAAGACATAGAACTAATTAATAAGTCTCTCACTAGTATGATTACCTTAACTTTTATTTAAAAATTTTTCTTTGCCTTATTATAAGAAAACTCGGCCAACTGTGGTCGTTCACACCTGTAATCCCAACACTTTGGGAGGCCAAGGTGGGTCGATCACAAGGTCAGGAGATTGAGACCATCCTGGCTAACACAGTGAAACCCCATCTCTACTAAAAATACAAAAAAAAAAATTTGCCAGGCATTGTGGCACAGCCGTATATCCCAGCTGCTTGGGAGGCTGAGGCAGGAGAGTTGCTTAAACCAGGAGGTGGAGGTTGCAGTGAACCGAGATCAAGCCACTGCACTCCAGCCTGGGTGACAGAGATTCCATCTCAAAAAAAAAAAAAGAAAAAAGAAAACTCACATTTAAAAGGGGAAAATTGCTTAATATTTCCATCTCTGCCTACCATAAAAATTGTAAAATATTTTCTGGCTAAGCGTGGTGGCTCACATCTATAATCCCAGCACTCTGGGAGTCCAAGGTGGGCAAATCATGAGGTTAGGAGATTGAGACCATCCTGGCCAACATAGTGAAACCCCGTTCCTACTTAAAAAAAAAAAAAAATTAGCCAGGCATGGTGGCACACCTGTAGTCCCAGCTACTTGGGAGGCTGATGTAGGGGAATTGCTTGAACCTAGGAGGTGGAGGTTGCAGTGAGCTGAGATTGCGCTACTGCACTTCAACCTGGCAACAGAGCAAGACTCTGTCTCAAAAAAAAAAAAATTTCTTCCATTCATTTTCTTTACACTTAAAAGTTGCATAAGATCATAATGTATTGTAACACTAATTTTTTTCCTAAATATTGCATAAACATTATGCTACATCATTAAAATACCTTCATAGATATCAGTATTTAATGGTAATACATTATTCCATGGTGTCCATGCATTATAATCTTCTCAGCAACAATAAGGGGTTAACATAATTTCCAATTTTTCCAAAGTTAAATGATACAAGATTACCTTTGAGCATATACTGTTAGATAAAATTACGCACCATAATTTTCTGAAAATTTCTAAGATATTTACATTAGGTCCAATTTTCCCCAGGTCTAACTAAGACAAGACATCTCTGTTCAGAAATACAATTTGGTTGACTTGCTCAGGAGACTGGGCCAAGCACTGTGATAAATCATCTTGCAGAGATGCACTTAAGCACCTGGCAATCAATGGATGGAAGGAATGAAACTGAGAGATAGATACGCATGGAACTAACAAGAAGACAAGGAAGTGAGACATGAAGTAGCTTGCATTGCTGACCATTCCTTAATGATGGAACAGGACTGACACCCAGAATGAAAGAATTTTAACAATAAATAATATTACTGCTATATGGAAAGTGCAAAAGTAATGACATAGACCTTTGTCAACATCTTGACACTGTCACTTAAAAACAATGACTTTGTGCTTGGGTTTTCTCATCTGAAAAATGAGAGAAGAGAGGTTTCTACTTCATGGGGTTTTTATTTGTTTGTTTTCAATTTCCCCAAGAAAAACACGGGCTTGTTATGAGAATTAAATGGGATGGTGTTCCTAACAGCTCAGTCCTCCCTCCCGCCAATACCCCAGCATGTTACCTGCTGGGGTTATTACTGAGGTACACTATTTAAACATGGACAAATCTGAGCCCCACCTAGGAGATACTGAGTCATAACAGGGTGGGGTGGGGAGGATGGCATTTAGGAAAATCTGTGCTTTTCACAGTAATGCAAGGAATACCCCGCCAAATTTGGGACCCAATGTCTCCCAAACTGTTAACAGTAGCAGCGAACAAGCTGAGAGCTTACTCTGTGCCAGGTGTCCCCAAATCCCTGGTACAGGGTTTTTCAAATTTCACGTGCTTCGGAGCTAGGAAGGGCAGCGGATCCCTGGCCCCACCCCCGAGATTGAATGGGTGGGGCCCAGAAAGCTGTTTTAAAATACACGCTCGCGCTTCCAGGTGGCTGGTTGCACTCAGTCTCTGGACCACACTTTGGGAAACAATACGCCGGGAGAAATAAGGGACTTGAAAAACGCTGATGTCCTCATCAGTTAAATAAAAACTGAATCCCAAACCCAATGAAAGCGTCCACGGCCGTGTTTCCCATTCGGATCTCCACCCTTAATGTGGAAAAGCCTTTGCAATGCACCGGCGGGACCTCGTGAGACCTGGCGATTCCCTCAGTCTCCAGGGTCTAATTGTGAGCCACTGAGGCAGAAGTTTTCCCATCAGTGTTACCCCGTTTACCCCAGATTCCTCCCTCTCTCCCACCCGCCCCCAACTCCGCCTGGTGGGGCAGGAATGCCCTGAGGGGTTGGCGATTGTCTGCACGAAATGCCCTCCCCCGCCGTTCCCTTCCCAGGGGTCGCGCAGGGCTGGAGAGCGCCCCCCGTCTTGCGTCAGGTCGGGTGCGCCCCCACCCCAAGCCCACTCCGGCGCCCCCTGCACCGCGCGCCCGCTGCGATCCCCGAGACGCGGCTCCGGGCCGTCACCCCGATTTCGGGGCCCCGGGCCTGCTGGCTGCGTCGCAGACGTGCTTGGGCCCGGGCCCCGGAGCGCGCACTGGGCCCCGGAGCGCTCACTGCGCCCGGAAAAGCACTTACTTTGCACGGAGCCCGCGAAGCTCTCGCCCTCGCTGCTAGCGTTCATCGCCGCAGACTGGGAGGTCCCCGGCCGGCCGGGGTGCCAGTGTGGGGGACGCTGATCTACATGGTGCAAGGACTTTTCCTTTTATTTTTCCACACCCCCCAGCCTGCCTTCTCCCAACTCTGCGAGGCGGGGAGGACGGATGTAAAGCAAGCTGCACTTCCGCTGCCTAGAGGGCGCTGGCCGGGCCCGGAGCCCCAACCTGGCTTTGCAGCAGCGGCTCCCGGGGGAAGCGGCAGGCCAATCCCGAGGCCCAGGCCCGCGGAGCCCCCACCACACCCCCGGGGAGCTGGATGGCCACGCGCATCCGGGCGTGCTGGGCGACCGCGGGCGGCGAGGGATGCGCCCCTGCCCACACCCTGCGTTCTCCGCGGAAGCGATTGGCCTCCCCGGCTCGGGGCGCCTTTTGCACCTGCAGCTGGAGCGTCTGGGCCCCCGACGCGGTGGTGTAGCCGCGCTGCTCGCGGGACGCCTGGGTGGTCTGTGGGGGGACCCGGGCGCGACTGCAGTTGCGGGGTGGGGGCGCGGGGCGCGGCGGGCAACAGAGAAACCCAGGTTGGGCGTCAGCGCTGGGCAAATCAGCAGAGCGCTGGGCGGGTCCCCTGCCCCGCTAGGGAGACTGAGAGGACCGCGATGATCTGGGGTCCTAGCGAGAAGGGACCCCTTCTCCAGGGGCTGGCAACTTTCTCGTGCATCACAGTCTCCTGGAAGGCTTATTAGAACAAATGCTGCTGGGCCCACCCCAGCGTTTCTGCTTCAGAAGTCTGGGGCGAGGCCTGAGAACGAGCATTTCTAAGTTCCCAGGTGCTGTCCCTAACGTGGGTCGGCGCCCACACTCAGGACACTGCCCTCTCTGCTCTGTCCCTCATGCCTTACTACTATCTCCCACTGGCTCCTGCGTCAGCCGTCAGCCCTATTGTCTCTCTGCCGACCCTCCCAAGTTCCAGACCTCTCCAGCCTCGAGGCATTTGCTCAGAGAATCAGCCCTGCTTTTGAAGGTCAGCATTCAAAAATTCACATTCAGGGAGGCCATGCTTGGCCTAATCTAATCATTCTAATATTGCAGCTCCCTCTTCCCCCTCCAACCACTCCCGGTCTTCTTCCTGTCTGCTTTGTCTGTCTTTCCTTTCTTTCTTTCTTTCTTTCTTTCTTTCTTTCTTTCTTTCTTTCTTTCTTTCTTTCCTTCCTTCCTTCCTTCCTTCCTTCCTTCCTTCCTTCCTTCCTTCCTTCCCTCCCTCCCTCCCTCCCTCCCTCCCTCCTTCCTTCCTTCCTTCCTTTTTCTTTCTTTTTTTCCCTCCCCGCTCCTTCCCTCCCTCCCTCCCTCCCTCCCTCCCTCCCTTCCTTCCTTTCCACTGGATCTTGCTCTGTCTCTCAGGCTGGAGTGCAGTGGTCAGATCCTAGCTCATTGCAGCCTCCGGCTCCTCTGCTCAAGCAATGCTCCTTACAAGCTTGGCCCACCACCCCTGGGTCACTTTTTAATTTTTATTTTTGTGGAGATGGGGTATTGTTATGTTGCCCAGGCTGGTCTCAAACTCCTGGCCTCAAGCAATCCTTCTGCATCAGCCTCCCAAAGTGCTGGAATTGCAGGTGTGAGCCACCATGCCTGGCCTGCTTTGTCCTTCTTAAAAGGAATTACATGGAACATACTATTTCTCTCTCTGAGTATGTATATCTATCTGCATAGATAGATATAGTTTAGTTGTATATCATCTGTGCCCTCCTCCCCCTTATTTTCAATAAGTCCCTGTAAAAATGGGGATTAAAACAAAATCTCTTTGCTTTACTGATGTATTCCAGTGATTTGACTGGTGCTTGACACATAGTAGGCTCTCGGAAAATATGGCTTGTATAGCAAATGGGATTTCCCCAGCTGCTTCCTTTAAGGCTTCGTTTCTACCTGCAGCAGCTGTTTATTCTCAAGTGTTCGTGATGTGCCAGGCACTGGGCTAGTCCCTGGAGGTAGGCCAGAGAGGCAGCCAACATGAAACAATCAAATCAGTACGGTAATATTTTATATATAGATGGCCAGGTGCGGTGGCTCATGCCTGTAATCCCAGCATTTTGAGAGGCCGAGGCAGGTGGATCACCTGAGGTCAGGAGTTGGAGACCAGGCTGGCCAACATAGTGAAACCCTGTCTCTTCTGAAAATACAAAAAATTAGCCAGGTGTGGTGGCATGCACCTGTAATCCCAGCTACTCAGGAGAATTGCTTGAACTCAGGAAGTGGAGGTTGCAGTGAGCTGAGATTGTGCCATTGCACTCCAGCCTGGGCGACAGTGTAAGACTCCATCTCAAAAAAAAAAATTGTATATAGATATACATATCATGTACTTCTTTTTAAAAAAAATTTATTTGAGTTCTGGAATACATGGGCAGAACGTGCAGGTTTGTTACACAAGTATACATGTGCCATGGTAGTTTGCTGCACCTATCAACCCGTCATCTAGGTTTTAAACCCCACATGCATTAGGTATTTGTCCTAATGTTCCCCCTTCCATCATGGGCCCTGGTGTGTGATGTTCCCCTCCCTGTGTCCATGTGTTCTCAATATTTTGGTAGTGATAAGGGCTTGAAAGACCATAATATGGGGATGTAATAGTGTCTGTAGGAGTGATCACCATAGGCCTTTCTGAGCAGGTAATAGCTAAACCAGGAGCTGGGCAGGGCACAGCCATGTGAGGATGAAGTAGGAGCAACTCCAGCCTGAGGAACTGGAGGGAGCAAAAGCCCTGGGGCAGGACTGAGCTAGATGTAAGTGGTTGTGGCCTGCCAGTCCCACTGCAGGTCATACCATTCTCACCCTGCGCTGCCCAGGCCAGCTCCACCAGGCTGCTTGCTGTTGTTCAAACAAGCCCAGCCCTTCCTGACCAGGGACTCTGCATCTGCTGCTCCTCTCTCTGCCTGGATTTCTGTTTCCTGGTCTTTGCAGGACTGGCTTTTTTTTAGGTCATCCAGCACCGAAGGAAATGTCACCTTCCCAGAGAGACCTTTCCTGTGTCTTACCTAAAGCATTTACTCCCCCCGCGACTCTACCATGTCACCTTCATGATACCTATCTAGCTAACATGACCCACCAGGGCACTGCAGCTTATGGCAATACTTATTCTTTATTGCTTGATGAATATTTACATATGTGCACACCTGCTTGGCACCCATCCAAGACACACAACATTCCAACCCTGATCGGCTCCCTCATGCACCTTCTCAGCCAATAATACTATTCCCAGCAGGGCCAGTGGCTAATGCCTGTAATCCCAGCACTTTGGGAGGCCGAGGTGAGCAGGTCACCTGAGGTCAGCAGTTTGAGACCAGCCTGGCCAACATAGTGAAACCCCATTTCTACAGTACAAAAGTTAGCCAGGTGTGGTGGTGCATGCCTGTAATCCCAGCTACTCCCGAGGCTGAGACAAGAAAATCACTTGAACCCAGGAGGCAGAGGTTGCAATGAGCCAAGATGGTGCTACTGCACTCCAGCCTAGGTGACAGAGGGGGACTCTGTCTCAAAAAAGAAAAAAAGAAAAAAGAAATGTGACAGAATAAACCATAGGAATTGCTGATATTTATCTTTTTTTCTTACTTAAAATGATAATTTTTATGTGGTTCAAACCAATATGTACTCATAATATTAATATTATACTTTTTTTTTTTTCCTTGAGATGGAGTTTCACTCTGTCACCCAAGCTGGAGTACAGTGATGCCATCTCAGCCCACTGCAAAGTCCACCTCCTGGGTTAATGAGATTTTCCTGCCTCAGCCACCTGCTTAGCTAGGATTACAGGTGCCTGCCACCAGCCTGGCTAATTTTTGTGTTTTTAGTAGAGATAGGTTTCACCATGTTGTCTAGGCTGGTCTTGAACTCCTGACCTCAAGTGATCCACCTGCCTCAGCCTCCCAAAGTGTTGGGATTACAGGTGTGAGCCACTGAGCCTGGCCTAATATTATACTTTTGATAGAGATTTCCGTTTGTGTACTCCGTGTCTGTTCTCTCAAATTTTCTCTTCTTTCCTTCTCTCTCTCTCTCTTTTTGAGATGGAGTCTTGCTCTGTCACCCAGTCTGGAGTGCAGTGGTGCGAACTTGGCTCACTGCAACCTCTGCCTCCTGGATTCCTCTATTCTCCTGCCTTATGTCCTGAGTAGCTGGGATTATAGGTGCCCCCCCACCATGCCCAGCTAATGTTTGCATTTCTAGTAGAGACAGGATTTGGCTATGTTGGCCAGGCTGGCCTCAAACACCTGACCTCATGATCTGCCCATCTTGGCCTCCCAAAATGCTGGGATTACAGGTGAGCCACTGTGCCCAAACTCAAATTTTTTAAATAATAGAATTTCTGATTTATAGCTCAGCACATGGCCTCCTGAAAAGAGACTTTTCCCAGCTTCCTTTGTAGGTAGGCATAGCTATATGACTCAATTCTGACAACGTAAATGAAATGCGATGCAACTTTTGCGAAATATTCTAAAATAACAGTTGATGTATGCTATTTGCCCCTTCTGTTTCTCTTCCTCTTCTCCTTGTTTGGGATGAGGATATGATGGCTGGAGCTCCAGCTGCCATTTTGGACTACAAGCATGAGGCTTGTAGGTGTGGCAGAATAGTGAGCTGGAAGGAGCCTAGGCCCCTAACTTCTGTGTGGAATTGCCAACTGGATTGCCGATTTCCAGATATCATTTATGTGAGAAATGAACTTTTTTCAGCTGTTGTTATTTGGGGTGGGGGAATGTTTCTTTCACATGCACCGGAATCAAATCTTATTCTAACACAATGCTATGCAAACTATTCCACGATTGACTTTTGATCTTGAGTTGGTCGGTTACATTAGAATCACCTGAGAAATTATTAAATATCCCAGCCCCATTTGCGTAGCCTCTCCTTCAGAAGGATTGGGATGAGGTCTGGGTATCTGTACATTTGACAGTCTTTCTGAGTTATTTAATCAGCACTTGGTGTTTGCAAACCTCTGCTCCCTACCATTAGTTTTAATGGTTACATAATATTTCATTATAGGGTTGCATCATAATTTATTTGCTATGTTACTGGATGTTAATGATTTTTTTTTTTTTTGAGATGAAGTCTCGCTGTGTCACCCAGGCTGGAGGGA